GTTGGGAGGAAATGAGCGACGTTGGGTTTCTTCAGGTACTGAAGCTTGTACGTACAGTCCCAAAGTGTAGTACCCGCTTTAGCTTGGCCATTATCCCTTGCTCGGTGCCCTTGGCATAGGCAGATGCCTAGTGGATCCTCTTCTTAAGAAAGAATCCAGGACAAGGGCAGATCTAGTAGAGGGCCCCCCCCAACCCCATTACCACCGAGCTGAAAGGTCCAAAAACATTACGGTAGAAATGCTTAATGTGGAACCTTTACGAAACTTCCCCAGAACACAGCTGGGATTCCAACTACCAAGCGATTATTTTCACCTCACCTCTACCTAAGGAGTTACAAAGAATTCTGTTAGACGGAGACGATTTTCAGGAATCTCTGATGGACTCAATCCGAGCTACCCAGCACCATTCCAATCCGAACAATGTCATTGCTTTCTGCGATAACTCCAGGTCAGACTAAGATTTTCATCCTTCTAAAAAACAGACCACCACATTGTAACGCTCCTATCTCTCAGACTGTTTATGACTTCCAATTCAAAATGCCCTCCTGTTCCCCTGGTGCTCTGAAAGTGCTCGATGCTCTATGTATTGCAGTGCGATTCGTGGATTCGACGACGTTCCGGTTCTTGTCCCAGCAGATCCGACGACGACAGGTCCTATGAAAGTCCAACGCCTTCTTCGTCATCTGACCTACTCAGCAGAGACTCATAACTTTCCGACGGCTGTATGTCCTTTCCAGGTATGGCATATTCACGTGGGTGCAGTCCTTCTTTTTCCAACCTTTTCTAAACAGTGCGTTACTTCCTATTCGTTTTTTCTGGACTGGGACCACCAATGTATGTCCAGCTAGCACTTCACCATTCCTAAACCAGCTAGTATTAATAGAAGCCACCAGGTGCCCAAGGAGTGAGGTCCGTGATGACAATCCTATGGTAACTGTAAAATGCATTGCAGCATCGTTCAAGCATCTAGCCTCTTGGTTACCCGTGTTTAATTAATCCGTAACTGGCAATAAGCTAAGTAATTGTCCTGTTGAGGATGTTTCCTTTCACTCACTTCTCCTTAACACGAATTTCTCAAAACTCGTTCTCCAAGTTGCCGATCAAAATACATATATGTATACAGAAGATGGATAATGACTTTACGATAGCAAAATGTCTTAGCGTTCCGCTGCTATTGAGGCTTCAGAGACCATTGATGGCTACAACCAGGTCGGGCTGCTTACGTTTTACGAATTCAAACGATTTGTCAGAGGTAAAGATGCTACAAGAGAGGCATATGCTAATGCGGCTGAACCTTCATTCATCTCATACGCCCTAACGAAAGTTTGGTTCTGAGGTTCAGAAACAACAACTCCGGCTTGAGGGACATACCATGACCTGGTTCACAGGTCGAAGTGAATAAAGGCTCCCCTCAAATTCCTCTGATGAAAATACACGACAGAAGACATGAGCTATGGGTGTTTGGCAGACATGCGCTGGTGCAATTACGACATGATAGCAAGTCATTTTCATCGCCTAGAAAGTCTTGAAAGTATGGAGCGTGGGTACCTCATGATCCGAATGGCAACAAACTGGAGTGATAAGGGATGCTTGCTAGAACTTCTTGACATTCCATCGAGCCTATACCTTACTCGACAACTGATCACTGGCCTGGCAACGAGGGATGTCTTGTTTTTGTGGACCACACGAAGGGACGCCAGTGACTTAGACGCGGCGAACATGGCATTTCTCCTTCAAAATCTGAGCTCGATCCTAGAAAATGCTATGTACTTGGTGGGACTGCGAAGAAAAATTCACTAGGAACTGCTACCGAATTCTCTTGTCACGGATGAGGTCTTTTGCCGCCTAAATGGTTCCCGTAGCTGCCGTTACCTGGCAAGCTGAACAGTACATTCTCTCTCTGACAATGCTCGCCATATATAGCTAGAAGACCCATAAGATTTAGAGCTCGTTAAGGCCTGTCGGGGTCCACCCGCACTGACCAGGATAAGCGCCGACGGTCTGTCCCTGTTGCTATCGAATACTTCAGAAGGTAAGAAGTTGGATAACCGGAACCAACTTGAATACGGCACTTGTCTGTGTGTCCTCTGAATCCCCAGAATTTCTGTAGAAGTGGCATGATCAAATTACAAATAAATGCCATGCGTAATCGGTAATGATTGAATATATTTGTGAAGGTTGTTTGTATTAAAAAAATTAATTTAAATCTTCCTCCTAAATTGGTAGGTACCTTTCCGACTACTAATCAGTATTATTTTTGTATACAGTAACAGATTTATTCCATTTTGCGAGCTTGAGTCCAATATTGACATTCGGATGGGAGTTGAAGAGCATGTGTACTTTGCCGGCACCGCGCTCTTATCCATCACGAACCCTGTGAGATGCAAACTCTGCAGAGCAATGAATACGATGACCGAAAAGTATGATCCCAGGAACAAATCCTGGAGCGATACCCGTCTAGCTCAAGCAAAATATCTTCGATCCCCCGGGATCGGTTTACTGCCATCAGTCCTGTTTGGGAATAGAAGCTGTACTTTAATTACTCCAGGTAGAGTGTTGAGTAGGTTAAATAAAAATTCCAATAAACTGCAGTTCAGGATGGGACTTGAGTTTGGGAGCACATCCGAGAAAGAGATTGATAAACGCCAGAAAGCCGTGTCTCTCTACATTCTTTATGTGTTAAGAAGCCTTTCGCTTCCAACTTGGCTTTCATCAGAGTCTAGGAAAGTCTAGGAACCATAAAAAGGGTAAAAAGGGTCACAATAATCCTGAATTGGTTTTCAGGGAGCGACAACAGGCACTGGTGGACGTATTCGTGACACACATGCGACTGGAAGAGGTGAAAAATTTACTGTTTCTTGATATGATAGATATCGACATGAAAGTATTCAGGATCGTATGAGATTGCTGGCATTGCCGGATACTCGTTTGGGAATCTACACCTCCCAGACTACCACATGCCATGGGAAGAAACCGGTGACAAGTTCCCGTATGCGTTCAGTCATCCACGGAATGTAGGTGAAAAGAGCACAATGAGCACAAACTGTCCACAGAATTTCCAGAAAGAATGTACCCAAAAGTAGCTATTCGCCGAGGAGGTAGAGCAGGTAAAACTGTTTTTCTCCTCCGAAAATCACCAAGAGGAGGCGGAAGGTCCAAGTTTTGGTCCATATCCACTATAAAAAAGGATTTAAGGAAGAAGTTCATCAGTTTTGCTCTCATCCCCGACTTGCTTCCTAGTTCATTAACTGTGAAGATTACCCACCGATTTCAAGGTGATCATAGAAGCATCAAATGGAGCGTCTGATTACGGTAACAAATTCGGTGAGCCCGTTGTCTGTGGATTTGCGAGATCCTTCGGTCAACGTCTATTGAATGGTGAACGATGTGAATATGTGAAGCCGATCATGTTTTCTGGTGGAATAGGAGCGATCGGTATGTCGAATCCCTGAATCCCTTGAAAAGCTTATCTCTGAACTTTTTTATTTATCTACTCACCCAGAAAAAAANTCACAGAATTTTCGCAAGATCCGACTGAAGTTTCAACCAGCCATAATTGAGTACCCCTTCGAAGAATGGGCAGAAAATCTCTTGGAGGCATCGTCTTAGGACCTCATCCATCCATAAGTTACACCATTCAAGCGCTGCAGGCGAAAACGGGCAACTGCTATGGGTCTCATGGCAGTCGTACAAACAAGAATAAAATAAAAATGCAAAACTGAAAAGCAATTAAGCTTAAAAAGAATGGAGGATGAAGTCATTAGCTTTGACCCGTTTTTTTCTTTTTTTTCCCTATTTGGCAATTCAGAATCTTCAGAATCGTAGTGGCGTATTCAATGCATTTGTGGCCTATTCAATGAACTTTGGTGGTCATGAGCAAGTCAGTGCTTTCATCCTATCAGACAAGCCCGGCACCAATTGACTGACCCCGGGGAGATAGGGGGCTTGGTTGGCTTGGGCAGAAATCGCTTCGGGATTTGGAGGACTGTGCTTGTGTTTTAGTGCGCCTTACAGCTACATCACTTCGCCCGCAAGAATTTGAAAAATACCAATTTCAAGAGCCCTTCAAACCAACATGTACATATAAGTGTTTTCAGATGATAACCAAACAAAAAAAGAGAGATGTCATGGTGGCATGCTTCTGGCGAAAATCGGTGGTCCAGTGTATCGAGTAGGAGTTGGTGGCGGTGCCGCTTCTTCGCAGTCGGTCCAAGGTGAAATATTTGTCCCTTTCAGTGATTCATTATAGAAATTCAGAAAAATACCAAGCATGCGCGGTGTCTTCCTAATGTCTCTTGATCACAGAATATTGCCAATTGCTGCAGCTTCATGAGCTCTTATCTAGGCTCACGTGAGTCCACGCTTGACTTCTGCGCCGTGCAACGTGGTGACGCCGAAATGGGCCAGAAACTGCATCGCATAGTACGAGCTTGTGCCGAATTGGGCACGTCAAATCCCATTCTTTCAATCCATGATCAGGGAGCTGGTGGGAACGGTGAGTGGACCTTGCTTTCCTTTTTGTGCTAGCAATCGCGGAAATTGGGCAGCTTTGCAGGTAACGTCCTGAAGGAATTGGTTGAAGGTGGAGGAGCCATTATCAGTGCCGATAGCTTCGAACTCGGTGATGAGACTATTTCGGCACGTGAACTGTGGACCGCTGAGTACCAGGTATACCGATGTTTTAGACTACCGTCGGACTCGGTACCGAATATTCAAAGGATTCACTTGCTATCTTTCTACCCTTCCCGAATGAAGTGGAGGAAGTTCACTGGAATCCTCTGTAATCGACAGCGTAGGATGTTCAAAGAAACTATACATATACTGGGCAGTGGTGACGCCAACTTTGCTATACGGTGTTGAATGCTAGGGCCTAGACAAGAATCATGGAGAACCAATTCTCTTCGCTGAAATCAAAACCTTGCACATACTAAGAAGGGCAGAGGATCATCCTATAGACGATTCAAAGGTTGGGAGGGGGGAGGGGGGGGGGCACGAAGAGTGTAGCTGTGGAGGGATGTGACCAGGAAGGAGTTCGTCGTAATCGAAGCTCACTGCATGACTTTTTGATTGGACCATAGTGTAAAGACTTCTGGCGTAATTAACTCGTTTTTGGGATGCGCACCGCATTCGACATTCTTTCCGATTCGTAGCGACGTTTTGAATGCGTATGCGGCCCACGGCAGCCTATACAATGAGTTGCGGTGCCTCCCAGGCGAGTGTGGTACCAACTGACCTACCTCGGAGGAGCGGAGGGTTTGAATGGACTAGGCGGATATCCATCTGGATTTCGAACCCGTGACGATGCTTTTGGATAGTGCTATACTAGCCACTACACCACCTGCGCCTTTGATTGAATTAAAAATCGAACTGTTGGACTAACACATGTTTTTCGTACCGACATAATTCCTTCGTAAACAGTTAGTAAAAACTCAAAAAACCAAAACTGACCCCGGATTAGCACATACCAGTCTATTATGTTAAAAGGTCCGGGGGTGTCACCCCTTCTACTGGGACAGTCTCAAATTCTCAGAGGGTATTGGAGACAACCGGCAACCGCCTTATGGGAATGAGCCCTCGTACATTAAGCTTTGGATTGCTTGATTTGCTTGAAATCTGAGTTTCCCGATTTTCAGAAATCTGTCACTATCTATCGCGGTAATCTATCACTTCTTCATGACTGGGTTCATTTTCTACCCAAACGGCCCAACTAGGCGGGAGGAGAATTTCATCCCCAATTGGCAACTGTCCAAATTTTGCATGATTGCAAAGTGCATCAAGAAAAAAAGTAGAGCCGAGTCTGCAGTTGTGGCTTGGAACTATCGAATCTAATCAGTCTCGGGACATGCAATAATGTGGCCCTCCTTATCCGACGAATTGTGTCTGCGGACTATCAGTGTATCGCTAGCGCGAGGGTCATCTATAATTAGGGTCATTAATGTCCCTCTTTGTTTCATATTGATGTCGCCTGTCTCAATCAGTCCGCTCCAGTACGGTTCCCATCGTCGATGGGTAAAAAGATGGAATACGATCGACGTCAATCATGTCTTCCATAATTCGACACGTTACCGAGTTCCACTCAGAGGTGTTCAATGGTGTTTTGTGGCGTTTACAACAAATCAGACTAATTGTTGTTCCCAAACCGGAACTTTATCACTCGCTCAAGACGCTAGTGAATGGAATTGTATCATGCTCTGGGAGTGGGGATTCTATGGATCAAAAAAGGGCCTGGGAGCTCTATTCCTGCTTGCTCTGGGTACCTAATCGAATGAGGTACACCTTATGAACCGAATAGGCAGTTCCCCATACTCCAGATTTCCCTGCATTCAACGAAATCGGCTGGTCTAAGCAGACAGCATGTAGATCTGAAGCTCATCCTCGCTATCGATCGATATCTATCCGAATCACTCCCGGGTTTTCACAGTGACGGTGCTGTTGGACGTTCTAATACTTTCAGCCAGGTTGAAGGCGAGATAGCCTCCAGTGGGGTCGCTATCGCGCGCATGCCTTGAGGATCAAATTCGATGTCGTGCCAACTCGTCCATCATCAGGGTATCAAACTCATGGAATTCTAGAAGCAGATCGAGTACCGGGGCATCCCGAAAAGAAATTTGTCATTGTCAAACAGTCTCCGATTATTGGATATTCTTCGCTTTCCAGGAGAACGACGCTTGTCTAGTTGATGCAAATGGAATAGAAAAAATGATGGCAATTTCCCGCCGCGAAAAGTGTACGGTATCCGTTGTGGGAACGGTAACGGATGTGAAACGGGTTCGTTGAAACTCTGCTTTATTCGAAGGATTCCTTTCATAAAATTCAGTTGTTTCAGGTTGTTCTGACTAATTTCAAAGGCGAAGAAGAGGGACGACATCCAGTGGATTTCGATACAAAAGTTTTAGGCGAACGAGAAAAGAAGGTAATTTCAGTCTTGACATCAAGAGACCCTTGAAGAAACTGTACAAGTCCTATTTAAGGTATTTCATCTCAACTCGAAGCCTATATCTCTGAGGCAACTGGAGCTCCCTGCAGATCTCACCGTTAGACAGGCTCTGGAAATGGTACTTCGATTGCCGTCTGTAGCTAGTAAAAGGTGGGTTACAGGGATCGGAACCCCTTGGAATTTTTTAAAGAATACTTCGAACCCAAGGAACTATTTGCAGATTCTCCCTGTCCATTTTTTTTCTCTTGAAAAGTGATTTGGATAGTTTTTGACTGCTGGCAAAATCTTCTTTCAGTCTATATTCCTTTTGTTTTTAAACCATTATGCTGCTGGAGAGCTTTTTTTGATTTATTTAGTACGTCTCTGAGAGGAAATAAATAAATAAACAAGTAAGCAAGTGACAGATAAGCCTGAGGGATTGAAGGGGCAGCCTCAGCACGTTCCAGGCCTCTGACTACTATCCACCTCTACGGAAGCATTTGAATGGGCTTTAGAGTTGCGTGGATGGGAAAGTACAACCTTCAGGCTCACAAACTATAAGTTCAGTACCACGCGGTCAAGGGATCAGGTGAGTGCGGTTGATCCATGAGGCCATGCCTGGGAGCTTACCCACGGCCTTTCTAGCCAATTTCCCAAGGAATGTTCACTAAACGTGACTGAAATCCTGCTCCGACCATATCGGAGCAGCTCCCTGGTGCGCCCTTATTGCTGGCAATTCCCACTACATAAATGGTGTTCCTGTTTTTTAGCCCATCAATCAATTCTGACGTTGCATTGTTGTGTTCGCTGTTCGCTGAGTCCAGCATATTCAGCGGTGAAGAACGTGGGAAATTTAGGCGGTCAATCAACTCTCATATCGAACATTTCACTCTTAAATAAGATCCATGACCTTTTTGGTATGTTTATTCCCATACTCCATCAAAACAGAAAACATCAACTGACCAAATTCGTCATGCATTTTGTGTGATCAGAAGGAACTTTGGCCTCAGAATGGTTATTAAGAATATGGGTATGTAACGCGGTGACATCAGAAGGGTCCAAAAATGGCGCAAGATTGGCTCAAAGCTCGGTTGTCCCGAATTCCATTGGACTTCTGTGACGAGAAAGTAGTCTAGTGTTTTGGAGCCTTTACTATGCCGCTGTCAGACAGTTCTTCGCTGTAACAACGGCCTGTGTCGCTTCCTGAAAGGCCAAAGTACCTTTCCAGCGTGTAATCTGCAGAACTGCTCTCATTGTTTAATAATTTTCCAAAACTATGTCATCAGCCCCTTAAATTACATACCCATTAGGCCACCTATTCTAAGTGTCGTCTGCTCCCCAAGCAGACTGATACCTTATCCATAGTGGTGACCCATCACAGTTCCTTTGGTGGTGCTCCATAATTCTACCATGCAGTAATGGCATCTATGATAGAGAAGAGCCGAAAGCCAAGGTTCCCACATTCTTTCCCACACGAGCTAGTCGTTCGGTGGGATGGGAGTGCCGCTCGCTGGAAATCCAGCTACATAGAAAGCTAGCATTATCTTCACATTGGAGCAGGTGACTACTTTCATCTTTTTAGAGTCCCCTTCAGCGCTCACGCTCTGATGAGTCAGGGTTCATGTTCAACCGAGCAACCTAATGGATCACCTGCCCATCACATGGCTATGACTAACCTGTCTTGTTCATATTTTTAGTCCATTTGAGACATTCTAACCTGACTTTCTTCAGGTAATAAACTTGACCATGATATTAAGATTCATGATTGGTCTATAGAATATGGTGATCAATTGAAACGACTAATATGTAAAACTATCGACTTAATTTTGGTCTGCACTCATAATAAGATCTGATCCTTATGCCAGTCTGTTCCGTCTGGCCGTTTCTGTTCTGGTATAGAGACTAAGGGTCTTGTCGAGGAGGATGAGAAAGCCACCCCAAAATAGTCGCCTTTGCTTTTTACAAAACTTTTACTGCGACAAAGGATAGAAAGGCGAAACTCACGGTATATTGCTCAGGAAGGGAATCGATCTCTAGACGTTCTCATAACGATATTCATTCTGAGCCACTCAATCATCTTGTTCTTTCTTCAAAATAGCACCACCTTTTCAGGTATCTCACCTGCAAAGTGGATCGGTCAGTAACTGGTTTGGTGGCTCGTCAGCAATGTGTCGGACCACTTCATACTCCTCTAGCTGATGTAGCCGTCGTTGCTCTCTCCTATTTCGACAAGGTACGTGAGACACTTATTTTGTAAATAGTATTTTTAAGTAGGCGCTTTTGAGAGGAGTGTTTATAACTAACAAACGAAGTGACTGGGAACCCGCCGAAACTCTTCATGCATTAGCAACAGATCAAAAGTTGTTAGTAAAACTAAAAAAAAAAGTCAAAGTTAAATTTCGGAAACCTTAGAAACGACTAAGGTTGAAAAAATGTTTGTGGATCAAAAAATCACAAATACAGAATTTCACAGAATTTAAATGAGTGAATTCCTCACATTCTATTGAGTAAGTTCCAGGTACATTGCCTCCCATTACGCCTGGGTACTTGATTCGGGACCAGGCCTTTTCGAACCTTTCCAAAGTTTCAATTAATTTTCTGATTTGCCTAATCTCTAATTTATTTTTCTAAGTAGTAATGAAAAAAAAATCAGAAAATTTCAATTCAATTGTGAATGGATTTGAGTATTTATAGACCAGTAAACGTTGACACATCATGAAATCAAAGGCAAAATCTTGGCGTTTACAGATCCTGTTTTCCAGAATCAGACGAGACTGGTAACAACTAACAGACCCCGGAGGGATGGAAAGTTAGTTAGTTAGTTTACTGCCCTAAAGGGTATCAACCAGAGATTCGAGCCCGTGACCATGCGTGTGTGATAGCCCGCCACTTGCCACTACATCAATCCCGCCCTTGACTATTTCTGAACTTTGTAAATGCTGACCATTCACGCTAACGCATTTACGCTTTGTTCTCAGTGGTTCTATAATCGGACTAGATGCGATGGAAAGCACTGGAGAAGAATTCGATCATTCCAACAATTATAGAATTAATTATTACCCAGATGGAATTATTATGAATTTTACCCAGATGGATCCTTCAGAGAACGATACCATTTTTAGGTAGACGAGTTTCCTAAACCTGGCTGTATAAGGGAATAGAATGACCTGAGAACGGAGGGATCAGTTATTTTTCCCCGCTAAGAGTGATGACCTGCGAGGGTGAGCCAATAGACAAATTAGCGATTTCATCGTCTCAAACTCCATCAAATCGGCATGGGTGATGACTGCAGTATAGTCATGGGAGTTCTTTAGATTTCTAGAACTTACTGTGCCCCTATTCTACATTTAGACAGCAATTTCTGTGGTGATTTTGCTGCTATAAAAAGCTTCCCAATCCTTGTCACGAGCGCCATTTCACTAAATGGCGTCTGCTGATAGGAAACACGATGATTCAGTCTTCTGACGCAATTGGGAATATGACTGAAATTTCGCTATGATTCATTTCAAATCGATTGAAAATCAGTTTTTTCAGACCATATGACCCATTACGAACTCTTTTTACAACGTTTTGCTGCAAAAATATGGATGGAGGGAGGGGGTAAACTAATGATCAGGAGCTTTATTTACCCTTTGCATGATGTGCATTTGAGGTAGTATTTCCGGGATAAATAGGTACCAGACCTGTTCTAGGTTAGGTACTGCTACTGAATACCAGGAAACTGATTAGGGCGTCAATCCTTTTCAAGTCAGTGCTTAAGGTTTGGCTGCATTCAAACATCCTCGCACCTTGAACAGGGGTTTGTTTGCATGGCGCATTCCATAGGGGCTAATCAATATCCACTACTTCCTCTCTCTTAAGAAGATGCGTGTCAACGGAAAGGTTTTTTAGGAATATCCACTTATTTACTTTATTTGTTTACTTATGTACTTGTTTGTTTTTTTCAATACATTCGTAAACGTTTGTTTAGAAACATCCGCTCAGTACTTCCTTGCTCTTTAGGAATCAGCTTAATAACGACTGAAGGGTTGTTCATTTGTTTATCCACTTATGTGAATATTATTAGTTCTTTTCTTCAATAATCTCTCACAAAGGTGTTGTTTATTCATTTTATCGGTTCAACAGTTGTTTATTTTCTGTATTTTCAAGATTATGCCACTACCTCATATTTGAAAAATACCTAATCAAAGAGTAAACAAGTAAAATTTGGAAAAAATCGAAGTGGAAAACAATACAAATTAGGCTTTGGTTTGACTTTTCCCCCTCTGAAGACTTTGGGAGTCAGCTCAAGTGTGTACTACTTAGGCGGAACGTCCTTCATGAGAGTACGATCTAACAATAAATATCCTTTTAAGATGAAATATTGGTTAGTTCGTGGAGGGAACGCTTGATCTCCACCGAAGGGCTCCATTTACCATTAGTCGGCCTAAATATGTCACATTTCTAAGCTGCATATGTGAGGAGATTATAAGAGAGAAGAATGGGGTCTCTCTGTCAAGAATACTATTCATTAATCTTACCCTCCCCCAATCAGAAACCCTTCATCGTAAGGACAAGTACCCATATGGGAAGAATCCCAGCTAATCCTTATCTCGATGGTTCTTAACTAAGCCATGGAGTTGAATGAGCAGACAGCCGCAGATATTGCAGAACTGGATTCCATCCCAGGACCGGGCTCCAATGATGTTTCATCAGATGACTCATGTATAGAACTACATGCTATTGAACGAATAAATAAATAAATAAATAAATAAATAAGTAAATGACCCCTGAGATCCCTTGCGATCGATTCCCCTGCATTATTTTTCCTAAAAAAACAAAGTAAAATTGAACTGGCACGTGTTCTTGTGCAGTAGGCGTAGCTCGATGGGCCACATACGCGTCAAATACGCCATTATGATTTTAAATGGGAGCGGATTGCGAGGATCAGGCCAAAAAATGGTATTCAAAAAAAAAAAATAAAAAATGATAAAAATAATTAAAAAAATGGATCATCAAACACAATCAGTTATAAACAACATAAAAAAAACAAAACAAAACTCTTAACATTTATCATGAATTAAATATGTATTCCAAGTGAAACAGCGAAATATTTTACGTTTTGATTGAATTAAAAATAAAATTATTAAAGGCAAAAGACCCGTGATAGAATCACAAAGGAGTACTGAGGTAATCTACCACTAGACAACCTCAGATTCCTGTGGTTCTTCTACTAAGCGATGGGAAAATTTTGATAGAAATCGGGTGGAGCTTCAGCCCTATGCCCCTTCAGCCCTAGCTTCAGCCTACCTTACCCTAACAGGTTTTTCAAAACCATCGGATCACTTCTACGATGTCTTTGGGTGCCTTTTTGTACGGCAGTGGGAGCGTTTCATATGTGGGTGAGACCTAATTCATAGGGATGAATTAGCCCACCCACTTCAAACAGCTGTAATTAGAGCCGCCTACTTTTCGTGTCAATTTGCTATAATTGATCGTCTACTTGACCGGTTTTCAAGTATCTCCTGATTTTCTCAATTACCCCATTTGTATCCAAACCCCCCAACTTCGGGATGCTTCCCATGGAGACCTGGATTCGACTAGATGATGCCCAGATTCTTAGGCAGCAATCAGTAATGGCACTAGAGAGATGAAGAGCTGCCCCAGATCGTGGGAAGGCCATGGGTTCCGCCCCAATGCCGCACACTAAAGAAAAACGACTGAAGCGTGCAGTTCTACTGACAGGCCGAAAAAGTGAAAGAAGAAGTTGAGTGAATCGGAGAAGGCAATTAGCAAAGTGGTCTGGGATCAGATTCCCATTCTACCTGAACCCTGCTCGCCGTCAAGAAGGAGGTGGTGATTTTTGTAGTGAAACTGAAAGTGCCATATAAGGGTATCTTCTCCCGTGAATTTCGTTCCCTTGAGAAAAGCTGTTTTGACGGAAAAATGACGGAAGAATGTCAAAAGTCCACAGAGTGCACCCATGCCTACAAACAATCTATACGGCAGTAAATCGCTTTCCGCCGGCTCCGTTCAGGCATGTGCCTGGAACAACAATTTGGCTAATGGACGTGAACTTCCAAGGCATCAGGCTTCATCCTTTCCGTGAACGGCGGCTGGTCGCCTGACTCACATTCATGAACATGGCCATTTCGGGGATGAAAGGAAGTGGTAGAGGCATTTAGTCACTTAAGCAGCGTGCGGATGGGTCAAGGGAAAAACTAGTCACGGAGTAGAGTTTGTTTGAAAAGGCCAAGGATAGGGCCTAACATGAGATCAGACATCTTTTGGGTCACCCAAACATTCCCTTGATCCCTTCCTGGTTCTCGATTGCTATCATCACTTGTATGGGTGGATAAACATATTGACTGACTTTTGGAAATATTGCCCAATCCATTCGTACATTCCTATTTAACGGTGACTTTGGGATGAAGGCGAATGCACGGCGCAACCCAAATAATCATCTTTTCCTAGGCCTTGAAAAACCATGAAACACTATATGAACCCGACACTCTTTGTGAAGACCGAGCACGAGCCAAGCGCCCATACGGTTCTGAGGAGAGGTCGAATGGGTGTTTTCCCTGGGAAGGAGTTATAGCTTCTTTTTCCGATCAGTGACCCACTCATTCTTGACCCCCTGGAAAGTCCCATTCAACTGGACCTAATGTCTTTCCAAAGTCAGTTTTCTTTTGGAAAAATTTTAAATCACTTCTCTCTTTTTGCCATCGATACAGCTATCATAGCTGAGGGAAGGGGAGCAGCGCATTGACAGCGCCATGTCAGCTCCTAAACGAATTCTCTCGTCTTTGCTTCTCTGGCCGGCTTCTTTGCTATTCTCCACCTAGGCATCGTTCTCTCACGGCTATCATCCGTTCTGTGGCTCCGTCTAATCCAATTTAAGATTTCGTATGGCGGCTCCTGCCATTTCATTCATAATCACCCCTGAATAACAGCATTGATAGATGGCCCCTTAGCACTCTCTCAGAAGCCGTTCTTTCCGGTTGATTCATGGGCATGTTTTGCAGGAACCCATGCCTCCTTTTAGCCAATCATTCAGCCGATTCGCAATCATCGTTCTCTTGTTGGATAATCAGCAGCAGCAACAACAACAGCAGCAGTCAGTAGCTTGAAGGCCCGAAGAACCCCCGAAGGCGTGGCTGATTATCGTCTCGTTGCGAGGTCGCGGCACCGCCCCAGCCTTCGCCCCACCCCTTGGCCCGAATTCTTCACTTTCCGTCGGCAGGCCATCCATCTGGTGGTCATGATTCGTCTGGTGGCATTGATTCCACTACTGTTCCATACCTCCCAGGCGGATATCTGTGCTTACTGTTCCTGTGACCGCCATGCCAAATCGGTGACCTGTAACTCACCCACACTGCTTATTCGAACCGTTTCACTGCTTCCATGGATCGAGCAGGTCCACCTGATCGACCTTAATCTACCCTATCCTCCACACTTCCTATTCCATCCTGCTCTTCGGGTATTACGCATCAACCGCTGTGGATTACAGTCCCTCTCGGCTCATTCGCTACTGCCTCTGCCTAATTTGGAGGTGCTGAATTTGGCTGACAACCACCTGGACGCTTTACCCACAACTGCTCTCCGGAGTCTAAAGCATCTCCGGGTTGTCAATTTGGCCAGAAATCGGCTCGCAAATCTGTCACTGTTTTCGCCTGTCCTGGCCGAGAACGTCGTACTGGAACAGCTTGACCTCAGCGGAAATCCCATTGCCCTCTCCACAAGGGCCGCATCTCTGCCACCATCCGAACAGCTCCTGCTGTCCTCCGCGAATCTGGCCTTTATCAACTCTTCTGCTATCGTCTTCCAGCCCTCTACAATCTGTCCAATGGATGTCGGCTGCCGTATTTTGCCAATCTCGACTGCTGAATTCAGTCGCCTCAATGCTTTCGATGTTTCGAATAATCGGATTAAAATCGACATTTCGGCTCTCACTGCCCTCACCAATGCCAGCCATCTCGACTTTTCCTACACCCACCTGCCACCTTCATTCATCAATTGGCTTGTGGATGACAGCCGAGCCAAATCGCTGAATCTGTCCCATGCCGAGCTGCACCTGATGGACGAAAGCTGGTCAGCATGTGGTCGTAATTTGAAGACGTTGGATATCACCGGTCTTCGACTCAAGCGACTCCATCTCCTTAAGAACTGCGTTCTAACTACCGTATTCGCTAGAGATAATCTGATCGAGACCAGCTGGCTTGAAGCAGTCTCACTCGAGGAACTCCATTTGGACAGAAATCTTTTCACTGATTGGCCTGTTCTGCCTCCAGGAGTGGCCCTCGACCGACTTCGCTCTCTGACTCTTTCGTCCAACCTGCTCACCGCTTTACCCCCACATGCACTGTCCCAATTCCCAAATCTGCAACATTTGGATGTGTCTAGGAATCAGATCAGTGAAATAGATCATCTTGCATTTCCCACGTTGGGGATGCAACTCGTCTCTATTGATCTGTCTTTTAATCAATTATCGATCCTTCCACATCCTGTACTACCCTCATTGATTTATCTGGATGTGTCCAGTAATAACCTCGTCACGATGGATTCTGCCCTATTCGCTGGTCTGCCATTACTTCAACATCTGAAACTAGCCAATAATCCACAGATCTTTACTCGATGTGAGGAACGATGCTGGTCTGATCATTTGGACGAATTGACCGGCCTAATCGACTTGGATCTGTCCTACTGTGATCTCTCCCGAGCCCTGCATCTATCACATCTCCAATCACTGCGGACTCTATTGCTCCGAGGGAATCAGATTGTCACTATGAACGCTGCCGACTTGCCTCCCAACCTGACCACCCTGGATCTGGGAGAGAATCGTATACATTTCACTAGGAATTTCTCCCGACTACGTTCGCTTCGGGACCTACGGATCGACACGAATCCACTGCGATGCGATTGCAGTCTTCACGATATCGTTCCACATCTTCTGAATCAGTCCCAGATAACCGATCCACAGCTTTACTACTGTTTTTCTGGTTCATGGCAATACCCGTTGCTGCCGTATCTCACTGGAATCACCCCATGTCGGAACCCAAGTACCCAATTCATCCCGGTTCTCCTGAGTACATTTGTTTTTTCGATCATTATCATTTGTTTACTTTTATTAGCTGTAATCGGATATAAACGTTATGCGCCATTGATGAGCCATGCCTATCAACGATTAGCCACCGATTTCCCGACTCGATTGTAGCCACTTCGTTTTCTCCCTAATCATTCTCGCTTCCTCCTCTTCCTAACACGGGTTCCAATTCCTCCTATTCCTCCTCCTGCTTCTCATATGATCTAGTCCAAGTTCCTCAAGTTATCTGATGCTTCGACCTACCACATATCGGTCAGCTTATCCCCCTCCCCCTAGGGTAGCTTCAATAGCGTCTAAATGAGGCGATTCGCCGGCTTGTCGACGGCGGCGGCATCGGTTCATCAGATCCCCTATTCTTTGATCCGGTGGCTCATAACCAGGGGGACAAAGTCCTCCTTCCCAGCCAGCTAGATGTACGTGTTTATTTTGTGATCTGTTTTTATTTATATTTTCTATTATTTTGATGTATTTTTTGTATAATAAGTGTGAGCAATAAATGTGAATATTCATCGTTGTACTTAAGGGGATTATAAACCAAAATCGTCTCCTCCGAAAAGGAGCAAGAGGCAGTTCTTCCGGATAAAGGGCTATCCATCAAACGGAATCGAGGGTAAGCGGTAGCGGGGAATCAAATCGGGGATTAGGACATTATTTTAAAATGGACTTGNTCCGGTGGCTCATAAACAGGGGGACAAAGTCCTTCCCAGCCAGCTAGATGTACGTGTTTATTTTGTGATCTGTTTTTATTTATATTTTCTATTATTTTGATGTATTTTTCTTGTATAAAAAGTGTGAGCAATAAATGTGAATATTCATCGTTGTACTTAGGGGGATTATAAACCAAAATCGTCTCCTCCGAAAAGGAGGAAAGGGCAGTTCTTCCGGATAAAGGGCTATCCATCAAACGGAATCGAGGGTAAGCGGTAGCGGGGAATCAAATCGGGGATTAGGACATTATTTTAAAATGGGCTTGCTCTCTTGAAATGCCTACTGGAGTAGGCAAAAAGCCCGAATCTTGACTTCAGGTTATATTCCCCGCTACCCGCATAATCGAGCTCCCAGACTCACGTTCAGATTAATCGTGGTCCCGAGCAGACAAACCTTGGCCTCTTTTTTCAAAATAAGTGCCATTAGAACTTGTAGATCCATTGTCTTGAACTATCGATTGATTGAAAAGAATTGGTATAAGATAATTCATAGATAACGATTTCGAAATTGATCAATCCCATATTTGGGATGCGCCGTGCACTCCACTTCCGTTCAGAAACATAGTGGCGCATTGAATGTCTATGGGGCCCATACAACACTTACGGTGGCCAGCCGATGTACAAATCAGTGCTCTGATCCTCCCAGATTGGTTTGGTACCAGTTAACCAACCCCAGAGGGATGAGAGGCTTTGTTTGTCTAGGTAAAGTCGATCCCGACCGACTCTAACCACGGACGATGCGCGTGTGATAATGCATCATTTGCCACTGCAGCTAGTCCGTTTTCCAATAAAACGTAGAAATTTCAAAAAAAAAGTATGAAATTGAAAAAAAAACTGTTCTGCGGTAGAGTAAGCAAAAAGAAGTATAGCCTAACTGAAACAACTAGGAACTAAAAGTTTTAAATACAAGGTGAGATTGCACTAAACTGGACAGACCGACACTACCTCTCGGGTATTTGATGGACGGACCGTCCATTAGAGCAACTACCGTGTAGGTAAACATCAGTTCGGAATGAGCCATGTATTAGGACTTCATAAAAACTCGTCGTAAAGTTACCCTAGCGAGTGCTCAGACCCGAACAACGAATTTCCCGGGAATAGGTATGTTCACGAATGAATATTTCTGAATGAATGTTGCTCCCAAGCGAGCTTAATACCCATTAACAGAGCTCAGAGCAAAGGGCAGCTCACCCAGACGATGTGATGGGTAGAGAATTATATTCAGGAATGAATTTCCTACAATATTGTAGCAGTAGCACCGCTTACCTGTGTTTCTACTTCTTCCTTGATTAGAATTGATAAATTCGAAAATGGCAGCAAACAGACGGATACATTTCAGATGTTCGTGGCGTATCCTATAAAAATCAATAGGATTTTTTAATATTGTGGAATATTGATTGACCATTTAAAACGATTTCTCACCTTAGTTGGATACAGGTTCGACTTTTCGGAGAAGCACCAGGTTGTACTGAGGATTCAGGACGGCTTTACTGATCGATAGGGGGCGAGAGTGAAATGAGGTGGCCAATCTATTGACAGGGCAGTTGCCGCTTTTGATCTACCTACCTTAATGACGGTACGGCACGATCTACCGTTATTTGATAGCGTTTTTTCATGGATTTTAATCATTTGACAGAAAATGGTAGGGCTTCACATCCAAAATGGGTAAATGATGGTATTTACATGGAAAACAAGAGGGAGTTCCGAAAAGTCAGTGTTTACTCTTCGCTTCAACTTCAGGTTACAGCAGAAATAGATTTAGGCAACATTCCAATCAGGAACCACATTTGAAGAGCGTCTCTAGAATCAGCAGACAACATCGTGCCACAAAATAGGCCGTGTCCAGAGTGCGCCACATGTTTAACATTGACCCTGCAACGCGTAATCGATTGTATGTTCATCAAACATACTTTTTGAACCAGCTGAGCTTTAAATTGATGTTAATACTTATAATAGAGATATTTCTTGGAAATAGATTTCAAAAGAGTGTAAGACCGAAAATATCTGGGCTTTCAGTCTGCAGATAACCGGGCTTCAACCTACATCCTTAGGTGGAACCAAAGTTATGTTTTTGGTGGCAATCATGGCTTTTATATTGATGACCAGACCAAGGAGGAAAGAAGTAGGACTATGTTTACTCCCTTTGGTTGTGATTTGAGGACTCGGAAGTTTTCTGGAGATAGGATCTCAACTACGTATGTTACTTACACGATCTATCTGTCCCACATAACTGAAGACAGCAGAAAATATCTGAGAGGTTGGGTGCCCTTAGGTGTCCTTGTCTGTTTGATTTTCATGTCAAAAAGAAGTATTTGAAAAGCAACAAGTAAAATTTGAAGTCCATGTGACCTTATGTTCGGAGCCATCGTTTGAATGCACTTCATTACCTACCCACCGAGTGGAGTCCAAGTAAATGAGCTGATTGCCAGATGGCTTGGGCCGGGTCGTCTCCGTTTTACTAACGAGACGTTCATCAACCCGACCGACCATGCACGATTGTCAAAGCTGATTGCAAGTAAATGGAACCAAATTGGATTTAGCCAATCGATTCCCATTTTTTTGTCGTTCTCATTAGTTCGAGGGTCCCATGAAGGGAATGGGGGAAAAAACGAAAATCGATCGGTGGAATTCAATTTCTATTCTACTTCAAGTTCGTTTTTTCCACTTCATAGCTAAGTTCCCACTCCCGCACGTCACAATAGCGTTGCACATTGCCCGGAGGGGGCTTGACAGTCTTCACTCAAAAGATTCGGGAGAATTTTGAAAAAAGTGGGCTTGAAAGTTATTATTAGTTTTATTGTTATTATTGTCGTTATTTATTATTGCTGTTTATTATTGTCCGCTTAGAGAAAGCATCCCATCCAACCCATGTGATAAATAAGGATAAAAAAATCAAAAAAAAAAACAGTAAGTAAAGCAAAGGCTGGGACAGGAGATGGGGAGGGGGAGGAGGTTGAGTCCTTACGGGGCTCAGTGCCCCGTTCATAACTTGGTACACTTGGTTATCATTTTAATCGTCTTTCCGGAGCTACTATTATCACAACTCACCATTATCACTATTATCATTCATTACCATTGTTTTTTATCATCAGAAAACTGAGGTGAAAGGAATGTTATGTTGTTTTTTTCTGTCATTTTCGAGTACAATTCCGATTTTCACTAGGATGCGAGTACATGGCGCGCCCCAAAAAGGAACAATCGATGCTTTGCTTCATTTTATCGCTCATTCATTTTTTTTTATCTCTTCCAAACAAATATTTACATCTGTTTACATTAACATCAAACGAACTCATTTGAGCTTCGGGCCTTTACTTTTGAATGTCAAAGTTGTAGCAATAGTAGTAGTAAGAGTAATTACAATGTGTCAGGAATCATTCTGTGACACGAATATCCTCCTCCACCCTAATTTAGCCTCGCCTTCACTTACATAGAAGTGCATTCTGGGAGAGAAGTGAGTGACGTTCTAAATATAGCGCCCGAGAATCCGTGAGAAGTAAGCAGATGCTGTCAATTTGAGAATGGGGACCGAACAGCTGTCCGGGACAAGTCTGGAGCTCGGAATAAATGAAAAACAATTTGTTAATTACCAAATAAATAAAGAGCTTGAAGTCAAGTTTCTGAGGAACGAGTAATCCTCTCGAAATGCACCATGCTCAGGATTTTCATTTGGAGTTCTGAGGGCCGGTCTCTGCTGAATGGGCCAAGTAAATTAAAGCTGCATGTATCCTTTTCAATGCCTTCCTCTCTGAACAATTATGTATCTGGACAGAAAGTCTCGATTGGTAGGATGGCTCAGACGAAATTCAAACCATCGACCGACAAAGGGTTCAGAAACTTTTACATAACCGCTGCACCGTCTCGGTTCCACTAACTGGAACCTCTAAGTGTACAGCCCAACAAATGGGATCCAAACAGATTCTAACAAAAATGGAGTGATAGATTTCTATTGAAATTTTATTCATTTTCAAGTCATAGTAGATTTTCTTGCAATCCATAGGTAATGTTGATAATGTAGTGATAAGTTTGGAGGAATCATGAACTTCTTGGCTGGACCTTTTCGTTGTCCTAATGATTTATGGAGTGGGCATGTCTAATGCATGAAGCGCCTCGTTGGCCTAGCTTGTTCTTCAAACTGAGTGAAGTTCGCTGAAAATGAGATGAAAGGAAGAAATGAGGGGTGTGGCTTGGGGAATCGAATTCTTTCTACCCTTTCTATTCAACGCTTTCCCAGGAAGTTTCCCTTTTCTGGGACAATCGCCCACTTTAGAAGGCAGAGTCAGAGCTGCAGAAGGCTATAGAAAAGGAAGTTCTATCATTTTACGGCTGATTGTCAGCTTTCTCACGACTTATCTAGAGACTCACATTACAGTAACCCTTGCAGTACGGTATTCTCTATTCCATATTCCCTTGGAAAAAATCGATCGGTAAAGTTTCATTCCTAGCGAGGAAGATCATAGAGCTTCCAAGAGTTTGCTTAATGTCTTGATGGATCTGTGACCACTGGCTCTCCCAAGTGGCTTCAGACGCTTTATCTTTCCTTTCGCCACCACCGATTCCCCCGGGAAATCCCGGCGATTCTTCTCGTGAAACTCCAAACAAACCCATCCTTCTAGTGCGTATAATTGAACGCTTTATGTGATATGCTCATATCGGGGAAAAACTTTGACTCCAAAATGAAGCAAGGGAAGGGCACCCACCTGAAAATAGCTTACACCTCTACCTATTTGTGTTGTTGTCATTGAACCCGAGTAGCTCAATATCCTCTTAATTAGTTACCCATTTTATTATTTGTTTCCGCCCTGGTTTATCTATTTATTTATTTATTGCTTATCGAATGTGTAAACATCAACAAGATTAATTTAAATGTCAATATGAGATTGATATGATGTTTGGATAAGACCGGAAGAAAAAGCCGGTGAATATACTCCTAGATTGCCTGTAAACATTGGAACAAGTAAGTAAAGAAAGCTTTTGGTTCAATAGCCCTTCTGGATTGCGCCACGCAACCTTTAGGCGTACGAAATTCCATTTGATTAAATACTTTCTAAAACATTATAATGGCTTGGTCGAGTCTAGCGATGCTTGAGCCGCCCTTTCTTATTCTTTGTAAGGGCAGATGATCGATTTCCCCAGAAAGAAACAGTAAAGTAATGAAGTGCAGTTGAACTTGATTCGGTTGAAAGTGGGACTCGAGCTTGAATGGACTTCATCAGGGTGGATAGAACCACAAAATAAATGATATGATTAGGTTGGGGCAGCAGGAAGGGGAGGATGGCTTAGTGACAAAAAGTGTGCTCCGATTCGGGGAACTGGTAAACCGTGTGCTGCCTAGAAAACCTAAGGACGAAAATTCAGGGCAGAAACTTGGTTCATAAAGAAACCTATGCTCTTTTTTAACAACGTTACACCATCCATCCATACTTACATTCAATAACCTAACCATTTTTGCATGGTAGGCGAAGGCGTGCCTCATTCCGAATGAATCGGTCAGTGCTAATGAGTCCTTCGCCATTATCGGCAATCGGAAACTGAGTCAGCAGTGATGGTCACATTAATCGCGTGTTTAGAATCAGGAAAAAGCTTTTTAAAACGATGATGCGTCATTGAAAATCACTTTTCAGGAGATTCGAGTTGATGTCAACAAAGTTTGCTATAAATAGTTCAAGTAGATAGCAGTCGTTAAAGGATTAATTCGTATTCCCATAGAGAGCTGTTTGTTTTGCATGTAGGAATTTGTTGTGAAGACGTAAACACACGCGGCTCATATGAGGAAGCCATTAAGAAATCCACTGAAATCCCGAATGATACGGACAGCCTTATGGAATGAGCAGTGTCGAGGGGCCGCACCGGAAGAAGAAGCATTGACAGCTTCAAAGGTCTCTACAGTTGAGAGTGCAACTCGTTAAGGTAGCACAGGGGATTCTGAACGGTACGCTACACGGTGAGAGAACTGTCTAAGAATCACTACTCATTGTGCCAGAGAAGGACTCCTCTCATACACCTCACTTGGTTGCATAACCAGTCACTCACTGAAGTGTATCTGTACTCCACTGCAATTCGAAAAGGGATCCAAAAGATGTCAAGTTCCGAAGAGGTTGATCCGTACTTCGGCCTTGTTGGTTACCCTCTCAGCCTTGAACGGTTACACTGCCCACTTACCAAAAGTCTCCCAAAGCTTTAGGGTTTCAGTATGACCTCCACTGAACCCTGCATTACTTGTTGTGATGGGAAAGGCTGAGAATCGGGAGTTAGTAGGAGTTGAGTGCCATGTGTTTAGGATCTCTCCAGAAAATAAGCCGTTCGAGAACTCTCGTCGAAGAAGTGTTGGTGTCTTACGACTAATGCGAGCTTAGACTTTTTCTGGCCATCGTCATGAGCCGGAAGACTTCTGACCACTAGCCATCAATGACGCCTAGTCGGTTATTAATATAAAACTCGAAAAATCCGTTAATATTACGCTGGACGACATGCCGCCAGATATTTATGGCCCACGTTATTGCCCAAAGAAATATGGCTTCCAAAGCCATTATCTAGATTTTTCTGAAAATTTATGCGCATGAGGCGTCTAGCAGCTTTTGACCAGGCTTCTATTTATATTAAAAACCATAGATTACCTCTGGGAGCAGAAATGGCTAAAACAAGTAGTTTATGGAGGCCTGGTACGATAACTGCTTCCCATATAGAGTAATGGAAGTAGACAAGGAAATGATAAAACTGCAGGAGAGTCCATGGCAAGATGGTCAGCATCCGTTACCGCCCCTTTCTGGGTGATCGGCCTGACCGATCTGTTCAGAAGCGCCATCATAATCCCTAGATGACAGTATGGTAAAAGAGTATGGGGAAATACTTCTTAGCATGCCATGGCTACTTTTAAGTCGGTAGNTAGGTTGGAGGAGCAGTGGCAGTTGGTGAACAGCCTATCAAAGGACTCATTTGTCCAGCTGCTGGAGCCCGTATGACCGTGGCCGAGACCCTGACTAACCTGCTGGCGGCTCCAATAACTACTATCAAGGTAAGCGGTGCCGTTGCCACACTGTATGGGTGTTACGGTAAAAATTACTGTCAGTTCAGGACGTAAAAATGTCTGGCAATTGGATGTGGGCAGCTAAATGTGATGGAGAAGGAGCTCGACTAGTAGAAGCATGTGATGCTCTTTGCAAGGTGAGAAAGAAGACGATAGTAGATCACGCTTAATCAAAATAATTCATTTGTTCAGCCTTATTATTTACTTAGATCGATTTTAGTGGGAGCTTTGTCATCTCTTGCCTGCTTGTTTTTTGTTTACTTTATTTATTATTATGTTAATTCTGATAATCAAAGCCCAAAGGAGAACATAAGATTCTTTGCCGGTGCTCGTAGAGCCTCTATTAGGTCTTTCAGAGCCTCGCTGCTGTCGGATGTGCGATCGATGGCGGTAAAGACTCGTTGAGTATGGCAGCAAAAGTTGACGAAGAGCTGGTCAAGGTATTGGCAAACACCGCCTCTTGCGAGAGCCACGCCCATCTATGAGAACTACGACTATATCTAAAGAACATTACTTTAGGCTCCCGGCACACTAGTGCTGTCAGCTTATGCGCCATGTCCTGACATTAGGAAAGTGTTGACACCTGATTTCAAGGGACCGCAAGGTAAGTTTTCAGGGAAGGCATGACGATAGGTCCTGAACAGCAGTGCGAGTGACGGTATTTTCCAGCTGGGAGCAAATGCACAAAGATTATTTATGTTCGTATGGGTAGCTCACTAAAGTATAATCGGCTCGGTGGTTCAGCTCTTGCTCAGGTTCTCCGTCAGGTTGGTCTTCCCTCTACGACATCTTAAACAGGTTTCCTTGGCACTTGATAGCTCCTCATTTGGAAGAAGCACGACAAAGCCTCCTTTAAAAGAGAGCCGAGCCAAATAGAGGGTTTTCAGATCGGGAACGAGTCGCCGGATGTAGAAGATCTGCCATCATTAGCTCGTGCCTTCACTGCGATTCAGAGGATGATCGTCGACGACTTGGTCCTTGCAGGTAGGTCCCTATGAATTTACCCCAATCGAGAGGGAAGCGGCGGTCTTCTAGGGCCTCATTCTTGAGAGCATTGGGCCGCTTCGATCGCTTCAGCTTTTGCTATTGAGCACACACTACCACATAAATCTCGCTGTCGATCCATTGTGATATGTTCGGTTAGAGTTTACCTATGCTAATTTTACCGACAGATACGGTAGTGCGCATCCCACGACGAAAAGGAACTGGATTTTGGTGGATTTAGAAAGCCTAAGAGAGGTCTCTGTTGCAGTACACGACGTGTCTGATGGTGGTTTCATCACAGCCCTTCTGGAAATGTCCTTTGCCGGTAACATCTCAATCAAAGCTGATATCAGCTGTGGATCAGGTGACTTCAAGGATCTCTTCGAACTCGAATCCCTCTCCTCCAATATGTAAATGATTCCAGAGCCGATGGCGTTCCTGTTTGCCGAGGAAGCAGGCGTCCTGCTCGAAGTCGAAGAGCAGTATCAAGGCAAGATCATCGAAGAGCTCAAACGTCTTGCAGAAGTCATGAACGTCGGGGAAGTCTATCCACAATACGGGCCGGATGCCAAGGTAAGTCTTTCTGTAAGTAACCAAAAGGGGTAGGTAAAGATTCATAAGAGATGTAATGTCACGGATGGAAGTACGTTTCGGGAAAGAGGCTTTATGTATTCACCTGGAACGCTTTTGATAACACTTTTTAGATTCAACAGTACTGTCGAACGCCGAGTTGTTTATTTATTGACTATCCAGTTATTTACTTTGTTATTATTTACTTTATTCATTATTATTCTTATTTGATTACATCTTCTATGGAAATCAACAGGGGAGCTTCCACCATAACATCATTTCTATAGTATTTTGCTGCTGAGCAATGCTTGAACAATTTATAAGGAAGCGAAATGTGTCATTAGGTCCGGTACGTCCGGATTTCTGGCAGCTTTACGGAGCGGTTATGAAAACCTACCTATTTATGAGAAAGAGGGGTCTTTTCGAGGACAATAATGGGCAGTGATAATTACTTTTCACGAAAACGTGCACATGCACATGCACCGGGATCGATTTTTAGCCGTCGCGCGGTGGAACGAACCTAATGACACTCCTCACGACTTTCGCAAAATGAATCGCTTCCAGATCGAAATTTTCGTAAATGGTGAATCCGTAATTAGTGAAAACCTGGTCACGTTACGTGAGGTCTGGGAGGAGACGTCAGATCGTTTGGGACTCATGCAAACGGATGCCGAGTGCTTGAAAGAAGCCAAACAGGTGAGTTTCTTTGGGCATTTCTGCCGATCAATGCATTCAAGGCAATACCGATCCTTGAGAATTGATCTACTTCATTGATTAATCGATTAACTGCTATATCGATTGTAGGTAAGAGCGATCACAAAGACGGTAACGTACTCAGCACCATATAAATGGCAAACACCCAACCCACTTCCTTTAGCTTCCTTGATACAAGTACAATCAGGTATTGATCGATTTCTTAATCAATAAACTCTCCCAACTTCCCAAAAGGTCGGTTTAATTGCTTTCTAGCCCCTCATGTGGCAATAATCCGAGAAGAAGGTTCCAATGGTGATCGCGAGATGGCCGCCGCTTTCGCTTTGGCAGGATTCCAACCGCACGACGTCACCATGACAGATCTTTTGGCTGGGCATACACTGGATCCGTTCAGGTATGATCTAATGGCTCTGTTAATCCTTCAAATAGCCTTCTGAATCCTGTGGACGTTTCAGAGTGGTGGCATTCGTCGGTGGATTCTCATATGCAGATGTGCTGGGTTCGGCTAAAGGTTTGATAGAGATTTCTTTTCCTTACAATACAAATATAGTGAAAAATTAGGGTGTAAATGGTGTGAAGTTAGAGAATTTCCTTCTTAGTGCCGCCCACACTGGCTATGTATGTCATGACAATGTTTTGGCCTGACTTCTCCTGTGATCTTTCCTTGAACTCAGTTAGGGCATGGGTTATCCATAGTGATCGAAAAGTGAGATTGAGATGGGTGGAGCTTTAGGAAAATAGTAGAGTAATTTGATCTCAGGTAACTTATGTAGGTAGGAGGAGATTTGGATGTAGGAAAGAATGTCAGGTAAAGCTTAACTTCCCAATTAGGGAACTTCTGATTCCAGATCCGTTTTCATCTGAGTGATTCCCTTCGTTGTTCGTATAAAATTGTTCATTGAAGGATGGGCTGCTGCAATCCGGTACAATCCCATGGTCCGTCTGGAATTTACACGATTCCGTAACAGAAGTGATACCCTCTCATTCGGTGTATGCAATGGCTGTCAACTGATGGCTCATCTAGGATGGATAGGCGAATACGGTATGTTTGAATTAAGAGCGGGGTGTTATTCAAGTCGTCGACTGTTTCCGAAATCGACCTTCAAAAATGTTTCTACGGTGTAATGTTAAACAATCCGTAAAAGATCTGCTATAACGGAGCTCGAAGAACCTATTTGTAGTTCTCGGACCTTTTGACCTACTACACATTAGAGCTTTCCCTACGAATTCCGCTCTCTACGGTCAGGCTATTCTTTGACTTCGTTAATCTTGCAAGCGCTCCGCGACGGCTTCATTTTCTTTTCAATCAGCTCCTTTTCAGAAGACACGCCATCGGTGTTTCTTGCGGAAAATCGCTGTGGCCGATTCGAGTCCATCTTTGGTCCGGTGAGGATCGAACATTCCACCTCAATTTGGTTACGCGAAATGGAAGGGACAATTCTGGGCTTGTGGAGCTCTCACGGTGAAGGTAAGGGATGCTCGATCTGAGATGGCCTTCTTCAGTAGGGGACAGTTCAGGTCGCTTTACCTACCGTACTCCTGAAGTACTTGATTCACTACGAAAATCTGGACAAATTGCCGTACGTTATGTGGATGGTGGAGGCCAACCCACTATGCTATACCCATGGAATCCCAATGGATCGGAGGATGCGGTAGCGGCTATTTGTAGCCCAGAAGGGCGTCATTTAGCCATGATGCCACATTCGGACAGGTTTGTTTGTCGCACTCTCCCTATATCATTCCTAATCTTGCTATTTCCGAACTCGGATGGCTTCCCGGTTCAGGTCATTCCTATCGTGGCAATGGGCGGACTATCCCCGCGAGTGGAAAACTTCAGAGAACTTGACTGCTCCATGGATCAAAATGTTCCAAAATGCCTACACATGGGTTACAAATGAAAAGAGCAATCACCCTAGGAATGGATCGAGCTATATTGAGGTCTAATTTATATCATAAGGTCATCGTTACGGTTAAATTGACAGGTTTTATAGATTTTTTAATAAATAAACTAATTATATACCCATACTTTATTCTGGCAACTCACGTCTCGAATGTTTAGTAGAACAAAACCGGGTGAAAAAACAACGAATTCACTTACTTTAGGTGGTGATGTAAAACGCCAGTAAAAAATACATTAAATTAAATAAAAAAACAAACAAAAACATGCAATTAAACAACACTGTCAATAACACGTCGAAATGAGCATAACGAAATTCGAAAGGCTACCGAAGAGTACTCCCGATCCATCGCTGCACACTAAAAACCTGCCTCGATTGCTTTGGCCAAGCCACGACTCGACCAAATGCTGACAAACACTTCAACCCGATGATAGAATGCTTGGAGTGCTTCTGAAAACACGTACATCTATACACTCTGACTATGACATTGGGTTTATACTTAGCGAGAGTACAGCTACAGCCAAGCGTCATGCCTGCATTACTCGACTGCAAGTGCTTAGAAAACACTGAGAACCTAGAAAATCATCGAAAAAAGCCAGCTGATTGGCATCCATCTCTGGAGGCAACGCCTACATTCGCTAAGGTGGGGGTCAATTTGAGTTCAACATAGACGGAAACTGAGGAAATGAAAGAAAGTTTCTTAAAAAAGAAAAACATTGACAGGGGGTGGGGGGAATCGAACTGATTTTGATAAAAAAATCGATGTGGACATACCAAAGGACAATTGAAGCAAATCCTTGATAATCTCTGTCATCACGGTGACCGTAACATAGATCGCATCAGCCGCGCCAGCCAACCTGTCGCGTCCGTCGGTTTCCCACCAATGCTCAACAGCTACTCGCTGAACAGAATTGGAAATTAAAAATAACGATGTAACAAACATTGTAGACAAGTTGTTGACGCACGATTTGGGCATAAGTAAATGAATGAATAAATAAAAGAAGAATAAAAAGATCGCACCTGTGTCTGCAAGAACCTCACAATTCTCAACGAAGTGTCAACGATAAATGCGTGGACTTTGTGGTAATACCTGGAAAAAGCACAAATTTATCATCTGAAGACCTAGTTGGCTTGTGTGGGATCGCACGAACTAGAAAGAAGGAAACGATTAAAGGTGATTCGTTCCAGTACCCCTCCATTTAGAGCGAATTCGACTCATAAAGCCAGTTCGGGAAGATAAAAAATTATTCGGTATTCAGCAGATCCAAAACTGCCCTTTCCTAATAACCAGTAAAAGCGCGGAATACTCGATGTCATCGACAACCCTTAAGGAAAGGTTCAGTGTTTTTTGGTTTTCCAATAACGGAGAGATTTACTACACGGGACCTCTCAGTATTAGGACTGTGGGTCATTTATCATAGAATCACCGGAGCAGCGTGTTCAAAAGTATTAAACAGCAGTTCGTCAACTGTTTTAATGGAAAAACTAGCAAAAAGAGTCTCCACTTAAGAGATTGCATGCTTAGTCAAACTAAGTAATGGTACTATCGCTGATTTGAGTGAAAGCAAGTGGTACTGACTAGGAAATAAAAAAAAAATGAGAGGTAATCACAAGCTGGGTGTCCAAGGTTGCAAAAAAAAAATCAAAAAAAGTATCTCTAAAAAGTCAAGCTTTTTCATGAACAAAAAAAGAGGGAAAAGTATATACCTGTCAATAACGAGGCCAATATCAGATTTGACGAATTCACGATGGAATTCATTCCACTTCGTCTTCACAGCGAATACTGTAGGTTGAACGCGTGCATAGTAGCCATTGAATACTGTTCCATATGTTTTTTGAATATTTGCAAAGAATCGAGGCGAGGGGCTTTTGAACTCGGTCAGTTTTGTCAGATCCGCACAGAGAGGCTGAAAAACTACTCATATCTACAAAAAAATCACTTACAGATGAAGAATTTTTTGTAATACCTTGCTTCCAGGAATGCTCTTTCCACCATCTGCACAATTCAATAAAATCCCAACTGTAGCAGCTAGACCAGCGAGAACAACACTCATCAAACTCAGCTTTACCAAAAAGCGAATCACTGAAACCATTTCGGATAATGTGCTCCACACTTGCATTAGTTCATTCTAACACAATATTTAGCAATAACTGTCAAATTAATAATGCTAAATATATATATATATATATATAAGAAATAGTTAGTGAAGAATGTACTATAGGGTTATAAAAAGTTTATGGCTAAAAGCAACGATAGTGCAGGAATGGGGAACTAGTGCAGCGTGAACCGAAGTTTGCCGCTAGCACATAAACTGAATTTTACAAGAAAAAATACTAAATTAAGGGAAAAAAGGTAAAAGCAAACCCCCACACCTCACCCACGCGCGGATAATTAGGGGGGAAAAAAAGAAGAAAAGCATACTGTGTTTAAGGGAACAGGTATTCATCAAAGAGTGGAACACCAACAATTGAGTCAAAAGCTCAAAGTTCTAGAGAAGTCCAACTTTTAAAATATGCTAATAATAAATAAAAGCTGGAGTCACGCATGCACTAGAATAGTACTATTATCAGTTGTCCTACTGCAAGAAGAAAAATGCACGGATCAGCATAATGTAGTCAAGAGATATTAGAGGTATGAATAAAAAGAGCACACCAATGCTACCGCGCTTTTGCTGTGCGACTGCACACTTCTCATTTAATGGCAGCTGTTTTGAAGATACGTTTCATGATTTCTTCACACCCACCAGGAAAAGCCTAAACAGTCTCCGCCTTTCTATAAACTTTGTGATCGTTAGTCTTTGACTCCGCAACTAATCGTCTTACTAATACACATCCAGCACCAATTGAAAGGATAACGATTTCGTGCTATTTCAATTAACAGCAACTTCATGATTTTCGAACGGAGAACGGCCCACGCGCAGAAGAAGATGAAGAATCATAGAATGGAGTTCAAACCGCTCCGATAAATTGGGTCAAACCCAAGAGGACGGATGTACGGATGTAAACAATTTTGGATGCTGCCACGCCAAAAATCATGACTCAAACACAAGGATAAATAAGAAAATAAGAATACTCTATAAATTTTCGTGAAGATGGAAACCACTCGTTTAAATGAAGGACAAATCTGATAGGAACTCACTTCTAGAGAAGAAACCACGATTTGTTCTCACTGGCTTCGGCGGCTCCCTCTCCTTCTTTGGTTCTCTCGCTTGGGAGAATTTCGCTTTATTATTCACGTTGGCAGGGCCTGAAAAAAAGCTCAGAATAGATTTAGAGCGTATGATTACAGAAATGCAAAAATACACAATGGTATGGTAATTGCAAGGATGTTTGCTATATTATTCGAGAAATGAAAGCTGTGCATTAATGGGCAATATGGGCCCAGATCACTGGATACAAATGAATTCTCTCCCCTCCCCTGAAACATGCAACTATTATCGGTAAAATCCACTCCACCAGGACTCCATTGTACATGTACTTGGTACAATTATCAAGAAATCAATGAGTAAACAAATGACTAACAAGCGAGTAAACAACAACATAGAATCGTAGGTAAGTTGCTGACTCATTTTCAAGATGACGAAGGCAAACGAGAACTAAGAAATAATCACTGTCATTACACTCCTTAAAATGCATGGAAGCGAGCACTACTCCGAACTGAAGTGGCTAATAATTGCAAACCCAGTAGCATACAATTAGACTAGGATTTGAGAGATCAGCCAAAGCCAAAGAAAATGCTATTGCCTAACATGAACAAGTCTATCTCCAATGTGCAGACGTCAAAGGGACACCGTTTAGTTGATATGGGCATGCTGAATTCGTTGTAATACGATATGCAGGAAAAATAGCTTCTGAAAAAAGTGGCTACGACCCGCAAACACGATAACGAGCCCTGCTAAATCAAATGATAGCGCTATAAACACTTCAAAAATGATTAGAAATGCATTAAAACCCTGCCATTTCACATACAAAACTATTCCTCGAGTTCAGTGGGATCTTACAAATTTGAGAAAGAAGAACCATTGAAAAAGACGAGAGGGTGTTCATCGAAGCTCGTGAAAAAAGGGCGAAAACAACTATCGCTCGCTATGTTGACTCACTGACCACTTATTGACCCAACGACTGATATTTACAGCGGCGCTTCTCGGTTCCTCAATGTCCCATGCTGTAAGCACAAAGAGATTATGAGCACCTGTGATTTTCCTACGCCCTCTGGTGTAATCAAATTAATCAATGTTTTACGGGGTAAAATTTTCATATTAATCACAAAGGTTCAATACAACACAGAGTAAACCGATCAGCGATCACTAGGTCGAGGCCTAATGATATGCGCCTGTTGCCGCAGATGTGGGTCGCTTAGTTGGAAGAGTCTTACGCGATTTTGATACTTCCTGCTGTTCCCCATTGTGGAATTTCTTACACCCTACAGCGTCCATTCATATACAAATCGCAAGGATACTTAGGCAAAAGTACCAAAAGCATCCAAAACAGAAATCATGACTTTGGACAAAATGTTGGCCGCTGACTACTTCTACTAAGCCCCTCGAAGGTATCTGTAATTATTCTCCCCGGAGACTGAGAACAAGCTCACCTCACAAAAAACAAAGAATCTGCGTTCACAACCATTGGTCTTCTTATCCAAAAAAGCTACAATTGGATGTGAATCGATGTCAAACCACATAACTGGTAATAGGATAATGGGAAGGACGAAAACAAGTGCATGAATTGGAAGTTACTGTTCGATGCGCTAGATTTTGTGATATTTCTATAACAATGTTGAATAATGGCCTTGAGGAACGACTTCATCTCCCAAAACCTGCACTGTTTTTCATGTTGTACATCGATGTGGCTTATTTCATAGATAGTTCCCGAGCTGCCTCCACTGCACTATTGGCAAAACATTGCTAATTGCCCTCTGACTCCCACTCCCATGACTCCTCGGCTTCACAAATGGGGGTTTTTTCAAATCTTCTCCCTCAACGAAAATAAAGTACAAAAGGGTAAAAAGAGTAGTTTTGAAATTTGAAATTTGATTTGAAATTTGAATTTTGAATTTGAATTGAAATTTAATTTTGATTTTGATTGATTTGAATTTGAATTTTGAAAAAATTTTGAAAAAAACGTATGCTAACTGAAAACAATAGAATCTGAAAAGCTGAGAATAAAACTGGGACTCCACTTCAAGAGGATAGAAAGAGAAAAGTTTCTTTCGAAATAGGATTAAAAATAAAGGAAATCCAAGTAACCGAAGGAAAAAATGGCGCTGGGAATTCGCCATAAAAGAAACCACGACCCCCCCCCCCCCAATAAAGCCATTACTATTGAATCAATAATCACCGGATTTCCGATGCTAAGAAACGTACGATAACTCAACGACAAGCTCGGGAAACAACAATCCAGCAATGCCGCAAGTGAGCACACGAGTCCAGTCATAAAAATAATGAGAGCGAAAGATTCCGACAAAAAACATTCCAGGTAATGAAATCTCAGTTTAAGCAAGTTTGGACTAGAAACCTTCGAGAAGGTTTCACAAAATGAGAACGCTCGATTGAGAACGCTTCTCTTCGCTATTCATCAAGCTTTACGGCTGAGGACATCCATGGAGACGCTATCGATTTTTGCAGCAAAAAATTCGTACCAGGACGAATAGCAGCCCTCAGTAAATATTAATCGCCATTCCGTAGTGCATTATAGATGGAGAAAGACTACTTTGTCGGAATGAGACTATTCTCAATATATGTGTGTTCAATCAAGGGTTCAAAGAATCGCATACACAAATTAAGCTCACCACAGGAACTCGAGCGAAAATGAGATTTATATAAATCGTACAAATAGATGAGCAAAACCTAGACAAAGGAGGACTACGTGCTTAGCTCAAATGCCGACAAAAGCAAAGTCCCAAAGATTATGGCAAACGAACCGTTAGCTTTAGCTGCTGCCTGATGTGCTGCATCTTCTTTCTTATTATGATGTTTCTTTTTGTTTTTATGCGTCGGCTCCTTTGCTTCCTTTACTTCTTGGATTTTCTCGTGCACTTTCTGCTGCTTCAACATCTGTCAAAAAACCGGTATTAAAATATGCCGATGGTAAGACTAAGCAGTAACTCTCGAAAACGGCACGGCAATAAGCAAGACGAGACGCGAGAAAGCAAAGAGGCAATAAGTAGGGCTACTTCCTACGCCCCCAGAAATCAATAAGTAAACCCGTTCACTCTCTACGGCTGCATAGGGAATACTTTGGAGAGAGGCAGGCACAAAAACCTCTGCGGTATGTGAAAGAACATACATAAAAAGGAAGAAAAACAAGCAATTTGCACTGCAAACCTGGATATTATGAACTTTATGCAACTCTTTCATGTAGGAAACCACATTCAGAGCGGCTTGTCGACACTCTTTTTCACTACCACAGTTACCTGTGACCTGAAACGCTTGATGTATGACTACCGTACCGGTCATACAGTACCAAGCGGATCTCTGCGACGCCTGAGCTACCTTGAGCAATTCAGGAGACAAAGGATTTTTCTTCAAATCCAGCCATCGTAATGCATTCAGATTAGAGAATGAGAGTGGCAGTTCCTGAAACATTCATTCGTTCAGATTATTACGTATGCTCCACAAGCTGTGCAAAAATTCAATGTGTTGCGGTTCCTCACTGGATCTATCTTTATCACTCGGTAGCGATAAAGAGGCGCCGCGGAATCTGCTGCCACTCCAGCCCCATTAGATTTCTATTACTACTTTTTTTACTAGTCAACACACCTCCATGTGCTAAACCCGACAGAATGGGGGAACGCTACAACAAGTAGACGCCTTGAGCTTTTAACGAGAAGGCACGCACTACAGGGACTTGTTGGGAGACTTGATGCTCTGTTCTCACTTGAAGGTTTTAATGGTTTACTGAATCACCAACCTCAATTTGATTATTGTAAAGATCGAGATGTTCTAAATGTACAAGGGCTCCAATATTGTCGGGAAGATGGTCCAGTAAATTACTGCCCAATTCAAGCCTGAAACTCATGAATGCGTTTGATATCACCATCAAAATGGAGCCACTTTACCTCACAAGACGAGTCATCATACACAAAGATGCCGGCAAAACTGTAATTTTGTTGGATCCCAAATCGATATGAGTTAGTCGTGGAATCTGAAGACCTACATGCTCATATTTCAGAGAGAAATCGTCCTATATAGCTAGTCAAGAACTAAAAGCTCTCAAACGAAATCGAGCAAAGATTATGGTACCAATAGGAGTGATTAATCTGTGAAGGGAAACTTGATGAAAATTCGATAATCATGGGCCTCCCACCGATCCAAGTCTGCTCAATTTCGTTTGATACCTTTGTCGCCAACTACGAACATAGAAAGGAACCTGTGGCAATGATTTGGGTACAGCGGTGAGACCTCTTGCCGACAAGTCGATTTCATTATCTTCGGCGAGATCCTTTAATTCTTTTAGCGAAAGTTCTGTCATCTAAATAAACATACGAATATACTTGGGTTAGCACAATATGGTTCCAAGAGAAATCGAAAAGCATTCATTATGAGGTATTCAACCTCTACATAAACCTCATTAACTCGGCTACTTGAAAAAACTTTATTAACTTCAGAGAAGGCACAATATGGTTACATAACTTATAATCACAACCAGAAGTGAAGTGAATGAGCACCATGACTAGCTACAATGTAACAAGAGTACAATTAGTTCTGAAGAGATTCGTGAAGAGATTCATCTAAGAGAAAGAAATAAGTAATGGGATATTCAAAGTTCCGATTTCGACTCGCTTTTCCTCTTTTTCTTCGTAATTTTCGAATCCTTGTCCTTGGCACGCCGTTCCTGTTCCTGTGCTGCAAGTTCTTCGAGATCCTTCTTGGCCCGCTCTTTATCGTAAGGATTGATGAACCTACAAACATGTAGCTCGAAACTCTCTCGTGGTCCCACAAACCTTGAAGCCTCTCACGTACTTCTCACTTTTTGGAATTATTCCATGCTGTTGTGCCATCATGTCAAGAACCTTGGAAGTATCTACATCGCAGAGCCCTTCAATAAACTCAGTTATGCCTTTAGCTTTACACTGATCATATTATGATTAACTACAAAGTAATTACCAGTTCCCTTGGCATAATTATATGCCCAAACAACATCTGTTCGCAGCTTGCGGTCTTTTTCCATCATCTTTTCAATGAATGGGAACCTCAAAGAGAGATCCGAGAAGAAGGCGACATTTTCAAGAACCTGCAAAAACGGCTCTAACGAGCACGATAGCTTTCCAACTTCACCAATATTGAGAGCTGTAAAGAGGAAAAACAAGAAGACGGTGATTTTCAGAAAATAACATCTAAACAGCCGTTGTTTGATATGAACACAACATACATATGTAGATATATATGCAAGTTCCATATCAACAATACTCAAATTATTACTACTAAACATTTTGTCAATGAATAATAACATTCATTCCCCCCTCTACTTGTTCAGAAAATAAATTTATAGTACTCATAGAGCAACTACTACCCAAGATTTGAATAATTACACCAAAGGTCATCAAAGGTTCGCTCGGGTGGGTTGGCGTTGCCAATAAGCTTGGCTCTAACAAGCCACAACGATGACTATGATTGTCTAAGATTTCCCCACCAAAAACATGACAACAGCCTTAGAATTATAAAAAATGAGACTAAGTCTAAAAAAAAAAAGAAGATGATAAGCAGTTGTACTTTATCAATTCGAGTGAATTACCTTTGATATGGCATTTGTTAAGGTCTCGCTGTCATGGGGATATGGATCAGACGCCAAATGCCCGATTCGTTCTAATGTTTCTCGATTCTCTCTGAGAATGTCCTTTATGTTCTTTAAAACCTGTAAAATAATATGAGATCTGAGCACAAAGTATTGAATGATCGAGAATAAATACATCAGCATGATTGAGGCACTAGAATAGAACTCGGCAGAAATCAAAGGGACTACTTCTGTTGGAAAGAAACATATCGTCAGAAAACTTTTTTACTACTAGGAAAAACGAAATTGTAAAGAAGGGCTCAGGAAGGGTATCGACCTTATTCTTACAATTTACAGTCTATCCAATATGACCGCTTTCCTTCTTATCAAAACCTGTTCGGTATCATCGATCTTTATTGTGTAACAACATCAAACCAAGAACCGATTAGATTAATTTGCGCTATTCACAAAAATAAAGCTTTCAAGCATCTGCTCGATTAAGGATGAGGGTACCCCTTAATACAAATCTGCTGAAAGTGAATAAACCTGCTCTTCTCTCAAACTGGATCATCGGGGTTTTCCTGATCATCGTAAAGAAGAGAAAAGCCCTAGTAGGTTCATTACACTAAGTAAATGGTTTCCGAAAATCTCTAGAGGGTTAGGCGTGACCCTCTAGGGATTTTCGGAAATCCCTAATAGAACATTCATTTTGCTGACCTCTTCCACATAACGCCTTCGTTTCGATTCTTCGATATTCACGATGGATTCGATGGCACCAAGTTGATCACGCCGTTTTGCCTTGAAAAGCTCCGTATCTGCATATTGAGCGATTCACTGGCGGTTTCACAGCACACCACAACACGAACAAAATTGGAAGTACACTTGAAGGAGTAACACAGAGATTAAACCACACAAATCTCACGCCAAGGTATTTGATTTTCAATCTACCTCAACGAGGGGATGTTTTATTTATTGCAAGAGTTCAGAAAATAAGACTGACATTCAGACCCTACATTAAGCAACAAGCAGAGAAACACCGATAGGCGTCAAAAGACCGAAAAAAAGACCACGACGCAGTCTCCAATCTCTTCAATCTTTTGCTCCGCTCATCCATGAACATATTTCACACTGCTCTCCGGATTCCGAACGCAGCTGCACACACATTCATCCTCCATAGCTACTTTTAAAAGTAGGAAATAAAATGGCTCAAAAGCATTGGGAGACAACATTAATGCCCTTATTAGCTCATTCTATTTGAATTTGCAATCCATAATCAGAAAACAGTGGTGGTACAAAGTTATGGGAAACGCAAGCACGAGAAAGGGTTGGCCTGCATCATATCATAGGGCTGGCCAAACTGGCATCAAGGGAAAATGTGTAGCGAGTAGGCGCAACAATCAATACCTATCCAAGAGCGTACATTCTCATGAGGGAATGAAAGGACCAACGGAATAAAATGAAGGAGTAAACAAAGAAGTTATAATACTTGGTGAGAAGTGCGGTTTAGGCGAAAGAATGAGTGAGTGGGTAGCAGAGAAACAGAAAAAGCTGCCCTAATGAGCGAAGCGCAACATTGCAGCCTTATCTAGGACGGAACTGAGTTAGGCAACCCTAAAAGACAAAATATTCAGTGTTATCGGCCAAAAGACCATACGCATAGCTCAGCAGACAAGCTAATCAGTCAATATGAAACAAACAAAAAGGGCGAACTAGTACACTACAACATTCAAAATATAGCAACAACTATTCATCGGAGACGATAGACGATGATGAAGAAACCTTCAATAAAGCCCTAGAAGAGAGAGAGAGAGAAATAAGGAAGCCAAATTACTGTCATATACGCCAGTACGTGACCTCTGTTAGTCCTTCGAGGGAGACGTGCACTACGTTCGTCCGAGGACGCGCGCGGCAACTTGCACGGCGACGTTCGCGACGATTTGTACGACTCTGACGCCAATTTTCGGGGCACAAACTCGAAGTAGAGTAGTTTATTAGTATCAGGTAATCCTTCTTATCTACTCTACTTCAAATTTGGGCTCCAATGATAGGCGTAAAGTAGCTCAAATCGTTACGAACTTCACCGCGCAATTTGCCGCGCGCATCTTCGGACGCACTTAAATCCACATACCCGAGGATTCAGCCACAAATTATAGCCACTTATAAGAAAACTCGAGAAAAATTCTTCAGACAAATGTGTGAGGAGTTATGGAAGGAGAATTCATAATACACTGACGGCTCTTTGAATACTACGATGTATGGCTATGCAAACAGCTAGCACGTTATCGAAATGATTCCGTTAGAATGAATTTTTATTACCATAATGAGCACAATGGCTGGTTACCAAACATTGGAACCGTCCTGACTGAGCCAATTATTGGATATTTATGGTTTCAAAATCGATTTGGATAAAATGAGAGTTCAACAAACTTCTTGCAACCCTTTTTTCAAATGTCCGGAGCCTTAGATACAAGATTACCTACTAAAATCTGTTTCACATATACAATTCACAGAAACCACGGCACAAATAAATAAATAAATACTCACATGATTTCCTTATGTCGATCAGATCGATGTGCTTATGGGCAGCTTCAACCTTCGGCTTCGTCGATGTTTTGTGCACATGTTTTATGTCTTGATGGTCAATTTTCGCTTCAATCGGAATCGTCAACGAACAGAATGTCATCAAAACAAAAGCGGAATACATCCTGTAACCACCGATTATTTATACGTAAGCAATAAACATGCATATACACTCAATTACAGCGAAGGGACCAGAATTACGAACACAAACATCTGCCAAAAGAAATTTGAATGTCCAGCGTGGAAATGTTGCAGTGCTCGGGGTTCTGTAGGTTGACGAATTGCCGTGAAAAAAGCGTTTTGAGTGCAACTACACAGAAATCTTCCCGTTGATTTTTTTGCTGAACCTTCATGTTGATGATTTCCTCCTCCCAAAGCTTGACACGGAGCGAATGAGGGGGCCGCTGAATGGGAAATGAGAGGTAGGTTGATATGGGAGTACGGTCACCCTCCTAGTGGGTCGATCTATATACTAAAGTCCTACTTCGAATTTCAAAAAGTTACCACTCGGAACTGAGATTCTCAAAACTTGCAGTAGTCTGCAAAATGGATAAAGTGCTTTGCGTCGAAGCTACCCCTTGTGATGCGCCATGCATGTGACTTAGGTTCAGAGCTGCCAGAAGACGTGGCAATGAAGACCTGGTATAGAATGTTTCCCATGCGGAGGTGGCCATTTCTGCGCGTGACTGAATGTAAACTTTCTTTGTTTTATTGATTCGCGAAGCCATTTTTGTTTGATTGCTGTGAAGAAACGAAAACTGGCCGGTATTGTAATGTGGCTGGGACCCGATGGGAAGACCTAATCAGTGATATGTGCATAGTTTAGCAAAACTTTCACTCATTCCACGCCAGTATAATAGTGGACCGGTGAATTTGTACGATCGTTTGACCCTGAGCGGTATTATGCTGACAATTTGTCATCAGCATCCGCTTGAGAACGGTGGAGGTGATGCAGAGGCAAACGGTGCATTATCGCACACGCATGGTCACTGGTTCGAATCTAGGATCAGTATCCTCCCAGGCCATCAAACCTTCCATCCTTCCTGGGCCTGTTTAGTACCAGAGCCGTCTGGGAGGATAAAAGCACTGACTTGCACCCGGCTGGGCACTTCAAGTCATTGTATAGGCCACATATGAAACCAGAACGATTCTGAATGGAAGTCGAGTATGGGGCGCATTATTCACGAGACAGGATCCGCTTGGGATCCATGGTAGTGAAGATGTTCCAGTTAAGGAATTCACGGTGCGTACGGACATTGACTGACCAGCAGTTCCTTTTGAGTAAAGACGAGAATTTGGGAAATTCAGCTTCTTCCTTTCCTCTTGAATTCCTTTCATTTTTGCTTTCCGCCACTTTAGCTGAGAAGATGATGGCATTGAGGAGGTAGGGAGTGGGGAAGCGCCACCACCAGCTGCACCATTGGTCCCTGGATTCCACTGCTACGTTTCAATGTGCCCTGTTCAAAATAACATTCTGCAGTATCAGTACTGTTTTGGATGGTAAAATCAAAACAAGGTCAGCGCTTATCACCCCTTTCGTCTCGGTGTCCTAGGTATTCGATTTTTACCCACATAAATTTACCCTTCCTCCCTTTGAACCCCTTACACTTGAAAGATTCTCTCCCAATCTACTTATGAAATGCGTGGCTGAGCCGGGCTCAGCCACGCATTTCATAAGTAGATTGGATCTCCGCCTTTGGGCTACGGTGTGCTTCTGTCAGCCTGACGAGGTCACATCCTCTTCAGCCTTAAAAAGCGAACAAACAGCTTCAGAAGCACCTTGGTCACTATGATTTGCGAGAAACAAGGGCGAACTCACCTCCCCCTTTAATAATAAACTCTGAAACGGGAAAAATTTGAAAGTTTCTAGATATATTGCTCATCATTTGGGTTTTGTTTATGATTACTGCCTAGCAACTTGGATACCGTCCATTAATCAAAAGGAGGAAGACAGAAGAAATCACATTCATTCGGGTCATGATCGCCAAGAGTGCGCCATGCATTTGTGCTACAATCAGATTCGCAGTAGAACCGAGCATGCAAGCGGGCGAGGCGAGCTCCTTCTACGCCATGCACTTAGCTCCCATTCAAGATCTCAAAGAAGCGATAAGCTGTTTGAAGTCCTTAGAATATCAAGGAATAGTAAGCTGATGCTCCGTGTTCAGTTCCCTAGGAGGAGTTCATCCTAACCTTGCCAGAGGCGCCCAGAACACGAAGGATTGAGGTTCATTCAACATGGACGATCTCCGATCTCATAAATAGTTAAGCTGTTAAGTGGTACCTCCGCCTCCACTCCCTTTCTGCGAGATAAAGGTGAGGGAAACCTCAACTGGGAAATAGCTCAATCTCAACCGAATAGCGGTGAAAGCGAATTTGTGGTGCGTCCCAAATTTTCCTCCTACATGAGGGCTACACATTTTTCTACCAGTTTTTTTACTCTAACGTTGGGCATATCAGCGTATATTTAAAAGGAAATAAAAAAATCAAAGTGAATCAGGAGACTAGGCCAAGGTCATCCAATGAGGTCACAATGTTCCAAATGACCTCAATGGTCGGGCGAACCATGTTTCTGTTGGCGCATGACCGATTAGGTGTCGAATGTGACGGAAACAGAAAGCACGTAG